AGAACTTAATAATGAAAGCTTGAAAAAATCGGTTTTTGCCAGCAATTTACGTAACTGATACCAGCAACAAACACAAACCAAAACAAAAGTCACGCCAACATTCCAAATAAAGCTTCATTTGTCCAATATTAATAATAACTAGCCACAACTCTATTGGGCATTTCAACCCAAATTATATCAGCCGACTTTTTAATCACCTACTAAATTAGGCTCCCATTGTTGTCATTGCATCGCAGCCCATAATGGAATTCATTATCGTTCCGTGCATCTTTTATTCTTTTCGTTTGGCGTGAAAATATTAATTTTTTTTTGTCCGTACGAAGCGACGGTAAAATTTTCACACTTTGGAAAAGCCGTGACACAAAAATAGTTCACGCTGGTTAGGTACCTAATTCATATTTAATTACATTCAAATAACTAGGTTCGAGTAGAGCGGTGGACGTTGGTTGGCAAAATGATATATGTAGTAGATATACCTTAAGGGGATACTTCTTATAATAATTTCCTAGTAGGCAATAAATTAGCTAGTGTAGAATAAATTGATTGTTCGAAAAACGGTATAGTTTATGGAAAATCACTCGGACAACTCACCTTGGCTTTCTTGTATTTTTTTTTTAACGGAAATAACCAATATCTGGTGGATTTTTGGATTTCATGTTAATTTTGTTTGCAAATTCTGAGATTTTGAAAGTTGCACTAATACTAATTAGGTTGGCAGAGAGAAAGAATATACAATTAGACTAACATCGTTACAATGTCTTGTAATAGATATTTCAAGTTAGTTTTAGGATGCTTTTTTCTAATTTATGTAACCTGTCGCTCCTGCTGTATTGTGTTTGTGTCCAATCAATGTTTTCAATTGCATGCCTAATATAATGAATTTTTCAATTAAAAGCCCATGTTTTATTACAAGTGCTCCGGTCACATTAATTATTTAAAGTATATTCAACCCAAACATAAATGGAGTTGACGCCTAGTGGAAGTTCAAAGTGAGTTACCTTTAGTAGTTTAAATTAAATAAGTGAATTGCCAGCGAGTTATTCAATTCTATTTTAAAAGTAGCAACATAGAGTTTGGACTCTGGCAGTTTTTATACTTATAGATAATGCACCTTCAAATACCAGAGAGGTTTATTTAAATACTAAAATTTAACCCAACGCAGAGAAGCTCGTAATTTTGTTAAAATCCGATAAAAGCACCTTTTGTTACATTTTGCAAGTTAGAATCCATAAACAGGCGTGTAGCTAATAAAAGTTTAAACAAACATCGATTTTTAAAGTTTGCTTTAACTTTTTACTTAGTACTTGCCGTTAAGCCGACTTTTATATTCGGTTTCTGGTCACATTCACGGTAATTCGAGTTCTAGTTTTAAAAGTTTGCGGATACGTTTGTCTCGACTTTTGTACTTAAAAGGTATCAGGTAACTTTATAAATATTATTGGCCGTATTTTCAATAGCTTTTTCCAAGGATATTATTTTTAGAAGAGCCCAGAAATAAAAGCTTCCAAGCACTAGATTGTCTAAGAACCAGGATGGAATTAAAACTATAATTTTACAAGTAGATTGGTGAACATAAAATTCTCCTACTTGAAATCTATTCTATTGAATCCTCTTCGCAATTTCAACCACGTTCCGTTTAAGAAAAAAAATCTTAGCACAATTCTAGCGGCGTCAAGTTGCTTTAAGGGCGATGTAACTTTTTCTGTCCCTGATCCTTAGTTGGCCTTTATGTGGGGTTCTCTGGGTCCGTAATTCTGGAATTGTATAAACGCGACCCCTCTCACGCTTGACGGCATTCCAGAGTGCAGCGTGCCAGGTTATACCTAGCGGCAAGCAAGAAGCTATGTGCAATCTTTCGACTGGAAACGTTTTAGTTGAAGCTTAGTAGTTTTTCAGTCGCACACTACTGAACGTTTGAGATCGTCGGAATATAGTTCGAAAAAGTAATTTAGAAAAAATAAAATTTCGTAAACGATCGACAATTATACATTAATGGTAACGTTGCGTCAAAAATAAAAACGAAAGTGATTTAAAAAGAAAACTATTTTCCTTTTTTAGCCCTGATAATCTCTTATCACTTTTCTCATTTATCTATCTATGATATACATTTATTTATTAGACAAATATAAAGATAACAAGGAACCTGTAAATCTATGACATACATTTCTTCACCTATTGGAATAATAAGGAAATAAGGCTGACGAAAAAGAGTTTTCGAAAATCTAGAGGCTAATTTTGGAAATTTAGGTTCCTGAGAACATACAAACCAGTATTTTAGACATTCTGGTATTGTGATTTTCTGTGAAATTAAACGTCCTTTTGAAAGTACTTTAGCTATATTGGCTACTATTAGTATTGAAAAAATAGGTACTAATTTTTATATTCATGTGGAATCATACACGAAGGCTCAAACTATTCAATGTATAACCCCACGTGTTTTCTTTCCTATAATAAACTGCTTGGTCAATATTCTGGGCTTCTTCTATAAGTGCCAACTCCAAACTTTGTTGAACTTATCCTCTGTAAATAAATTATTGTTATCGCAACAATGGATTTCTCCATCACAAACCTAAAACAAGGAGAATCTTTCTTAGAATGTTCTCGCTCCACTTGAGTTATTGGTTATAGGTGCTGTTTTAACAAATCTGTTAAGTAATATGCTTTAGTATTACCCAAGCGACTTATTTCCAGCTTAGTCCTTGACAATTCAAATAGCATCATTATAAAGCACTTATTATCAGCAAAAAACCCTTGATAAAAACCCCTTGCTTATACATATATTTCGTGCGACAGTCACACAATATTAAATATCCCGATATGCAAATCGGTTTCGATACCTTCTCTTCAGATCTTTTGATTCAAAAATAAAAGCTCAGATAAAACCGAACCGCAAGGCATTAAAGCGCTCGGGGGAGCCCTTCGTCTCCAATCGGATTTTTCGTGAATCCCTAGCACAAATCTTCCGACTTTTCCGCACCAGCGACTCCTTCTCCAGTGTGTGCGTCTGCTACCATGCCGTTCCGGGACATCATTTACATTTGTTCCAGTTTTGTCTTTTTTTCCGCCATATTCGCGAAATTTTGATTTGAGGCAACAATGTGAAGTGATAATAATATCTGATTTTTCCACCTAAATTATTTGTCTGCCTTGAAAGCATTGCAATATCATTTTCACTTCATATTTCAGTAAATTATCTTCTCTATGCGTCTAGACGGCTAAAGTTGAAAGCTCACTAATACGGGCGCCAGTTTAACTGCAGATCGTGACTGCGATCTTCGTTTTGATACCGACATTTTGTTAGCCCTCGACCAGTAGAAATGTCAAGCACCCTCTCATTCCAAACACAAAAGATAGCTAGTAATTATCACTCTCAAAAAAAGTTTTAAAACCCACAGACCTTTATATTAATTAGCATTCCGAGCTCGACTTTAAGCACATTTTCTCGTAATTTTCCGTAATCTCGTGCCCTCTCAAAAACCGAGATTAAACGCCTCGGGTCGTTAAGGGTGAAGTTTCAAAAAAACCTCCGGGTTGTTAACGGTGACGATTAAACTTAATTATATTTGCATTGGGTCCGGTGAAGTGCCTGGAAAAAGTACCGTGTGTGTCCGTACAGGACATAGATACATTTATATGCGAGAATACGGTGTCAGTTTAGGACAATTATTATTTGTTCAGGTCTAACAATTATTTATCTTTAATTGTTCACGGATAAAATGAAATTTAAATACAAATTATACGGGTGCTTACTAAGTTTGGGATTGTATTTATGAGCTTCCGAAATCTTTATAGTGTTATAATGAACCCGAAAAGTTCGTTCCGTTCACTAGTAGACTTTTTTTTCTTATTTCATCAAGCAAAAAAATTCGGCACATTATTGTAGAAACCACGATGTTCAACTAGACAATCGCCAATTTGGATATTTTTCTTTCATGGAACGGATAATTTATCGAACTTATTGAGCTAAGTCTAATGGCTGCTGGTGAATTTTGCCTTGCGAGAAATAAAACAAATGTCCCATTAACCAAGTGTAAAATTACTTCGAAATCCCTCCTTATTTTTCTCACACGTGTTATAATTCACCAACCCTCCGACTTTCTAAAAATCAATCCATTCAATTGCAGGTGATACATTACCAAGTCAAAAATAGATGAACGCTACTTCTCTTACATGACGTTTCGTTTCGCTTGCATCTCGCTTCCTGTCCTTGTTCCCAAACCACCTGCTCTAGATTTAAACTTACAACTTTCCCATATATATCTCTATCTCTCCTACGAAAAAATAAAGGAGCTAAATTTACACGAGGTTCGCGGCGTGGCGCGGCATAAGGGATACGGCGGCGCATTTCTCTTCCGAGATCGTTCTCAATATGCGCCTTCTGGCAAGGGTAAAAGCCTTTTGACTATATCTAAGTAAATAAAAGTGTGCTCGGGATGCAGAAATAGCGAGAGAGAGGATCGTTTTCAAAGTGAATGTATATTTTTGAGCGGTTGACATAGGATGTACGCCTGACGCCGCGAATTTGCCGTCGCGGTGCAAGCGTTCGGAAAAATTGGCTTTTTCGCCCTGCTTTTTTGACTGAGCGCTTCTAGATTTTTAGACCGTGAAACGATTATATTTGCACGGTTAAAAAGATCAAATCAGGAATATTTTATTTATTCAACATATTTCCAAAAATCCTACAGTTTTTCCAGTGAAAAAACAAGAATTTGTCAGATAATCGAAATCCTACGTGCATCCTATCTGCATGATCTTTCTTGACGTCTTCCAAGTCTCCTTAACCAAAAGAATAAAACGACGCGACCCTTTGTAAACTTGCCCACGTCCTCTGCATTCGTTAGGAATTTATTATGAGACTTGGCTAAAAATGTAAATGGATCGATTAATATTGTGATACATGTGGTCGCAAACTTTGAATATTTTCCCTATTCGTTTTAAAAAAAAAAAAACATTTATAAAGCATTTGGGAGAAAAAATTAAATATATTTTTTTTTATTTTCAGAGAGGAAGTGACGAACTTCTTTCGCAATCAAACGTCTCAGTGATGGCACCTTCAGCGCCACATGCCGATAACAACAATCAGGATAACGCAAAGAAGGTAAGTCAGTAATATAAACTAGACTAGGTATTATTACCTTTTTGTGTTTAGTACCATAATCTAAAAAAAGAGATCATTTATGAAATCATCTCGGAGTCTGCCTATCGCAGCTCATTTTCTCATAGAAGGATTCACATAAGGATATCCAATATGGGTGTTATACGAGTCCTATAGAATAAAGTTTTATAAATCTAACAGATCAACGAATTTTGAGAAAGTTTTCGATTATTTAAGAGGGTAGCGTAAGTTGAATGCCGGACGCTGAGATATTATTCCTTATAAGAAAATGTACTCCCATGAATTTGCTTATGTGATGCATTAGAATCTCCAACCAACAAAAGTGGAAGTAAAAGTTAATGTTAGAAACAGTAGTAAGTATTTTTTTGTTGGATTTTTTTATTTCAATATTCGAATTGTAAAATTTGCAATTTCTATTGAATGTTAAATGACTAACAAATGCTACATGATGGTATAGTCTATAAATATTTATCGTTGAATTGGTGATGATTAATTAACTCACTTATCCGTATAAATTTGCACTTGCTTGATTTTATGTGTATTTACATATATGGAATTATCCCCATTGTTTTCATTTATCCATGTGGGAACATTAATTTGATTAAATTGGTTTTATTGATATTTATGAAACAACGATTGTGCTCTGATTGAAAGTCGGCTGTTTATTGGTTGCATTTATCATTTCGATTTTGAGCCTGGTTCCGGTTGCACCGGTTACGGTTACTGCCAACACTGGTTGCGATTGCTACCGGTTACCGTACGCAACTAGTAAGTACACGATACATCGGTCTTCTTTTTCCGTGGAATCGAACTGGTCCTGTTTGAAAGATGTAAACTTACCTCTAGGACTGACACAGTGAGTCCATTCGTTTGTTCAACCTCTTAAACCTCAAGGTTTATGTGATAAAAGTAGGCCGAAAAAGAAAATTGTCGGAAGATACTCACGAGCTTGAATGTGGAAACTCCAACCAATACACTCCGATAACCGCCGGAGGTTTCTGATTGCATCGCTATAGTTTGAAAGTTGACGAAATACTTGACCGATCAAGTGGTGATGAACCGAACGCCTCGGTAGCTCAAAACGACACCTGAAGCCAAGGACCTTGCCTTCGGCTAAATAGAATAATTTATTTTGTATATCTGGTTACTTCTTTTTTTTCTCTTCATTCTTTTCATTACATGGATATCTATATATGTATAGCCAGGCTGCTGCTGGTTTCAACCTTGTAAGCCTCTTCGAACGAAAACTTACACAGTCCTTTCAGCGTTCGATGGTTTTTTTTTGCCGACGAGGTTGTTTAGTTTTATGTTTTACGCAAGTCCATTATTGTCTAGCCTGTCTTTGTTCTTTTGTTGTCTTGTCCATCTTGCAATGTATCTCAACCTGTGGTCAAAACTCCTCGCCTCTTCTTTTTTTGTCGTGTTATGCTGTTCAGTAAATGTATTCTTAAATTATTCGCATACTATTTGCTGCATCTGATTTTGTTTTAGCTGCGTATGGTGTAATAGGAGTAGTTTGCCTGGGTTGGCATACCTGTTACTCTATACGATGTCTCTTTAGCAGGTTTCCAGAGGTTGATATTTCAGCTTCCAGATATTTGGAGTGTTCCTTGCTCGACAATCTTCTGATCAATCTCTAATTTGTATCTTGTCAACTCTTCAGATGTACTAGACACGCGGTTTTCTATTTGTTGTTTTGCTGTTTGAATGAAGGAGTGAAGTAATTTCTGTAGGCTGTCTTCACAGTTAGTAGTCGGCCTTTTAGATTTTTTTTTATCCGCTATTCCAACATTTCATTTGTTATTTCGTCGGACTTTGGCTTTTTCCTAAACATATACCTATAGTATTTTTCTATATAGTGTTTTCATGGTCTTTCTCGTCTTCTCCGATCGTCAGCCAGGGTGTTCCGAAACTATTGTGCAAAAATTTGAGCAATGATAGATCTCACCAAAATAAACGTTTTTTACTTATAAACCCATAGGCGCATGCGCTTTGGTTAGGTGATAATAGCACATTACAGTCCGCACTGTGGTAGCCACCTTGCACACGGAGAAACGTGTTTGAATAAGCAGAACCTGTGTTATTAAATAATACAGAACCCAAAGAATGCTTGCAGTATTTATTTAAAATAATGATTCACATCAAAAGGTGCTCCAAACTACGACCACCCGCCTCAATGCATGTGTAACAGCGTTGTAGCAGAAATATCGAGTACCACATTACTTGTTAGCCTTAAGGGAACATCTCAACGAAACATCTGGAAAGAGCTATTGTTAAGGGGGCATGGACTCCACGTTCACTAGACCTGACGGAATGCTACTTTTTTTTATGGGGTCATATGAAAGCTCTTGTTCACGACACTTCAGCTGAAGCAACTAGAGGAAGTTAGTAGGAAGGATTGTTGCAGCAGCTGCTGAAATTCTCGAAACACCATGAATTTTTCAACGTGTTCAGGAGGCTATGCTACGGCGCTGTCACGCACGTATGGAGGTGGGTGGTCGTAGCTTTGAGCATCTTCTGCTGTAAATCATTGTTTTCAGTAAATACTGCAAGCATTCCTTGAGTTTTGCATCATTTAATAACACAGTTTCTGCTTCAAACACGTTTCTCCGTGTGTAAGGTGGCTACCACGGCGCGACCTCTAATGTTCTATTATCACATAACCAAAGCGCATGCGCCTATGTGTTTATAAGTAAAAAAGCGTTTATTTTGGCGCGATCTATCATCTCTTAATTTTTGGCACAATACTTTCGGAACACCCTGTTTTAGTTTAGTTTTCCCAAGTATGTTTAATAAGTTTTCAGCTCTTCTGCATGTCTTTCAATCTATTTTGTGAATCTTTGCTACTATCCGCTTTCATCGCCGCTTTTATTTTGACATATCTAATCTCGTTTTGTTCGAAAATAGTAAACCAGGAAGGTTGTCTGATGTAGGAGTTGGAAAACTTGGTTAAATACTTATGTTTTCGAAGTAGAAGAAAAAAAAATTCACAAATCAGTGACATAATATATTGCATTTTCTCGTTAATTTTTACACCACATTAATGTCGTTTGTGCTCAATCCGTTTAACCCATCGGTTATCAGATTCAGAAAATCAGCATAAATGTTCATAATCATGATTTACTACCAATAACTCAATCAGATGTCATTTTATATCGCCCGCCCTAGAATTACAGGCTAAATTTAATAACAATTACGTTGGCCCATAAACAATGCCGTATATCTCAGTTAGCCGTTGCATAATGCCCTGAATTAAGACCATTTAACCCTCGTTTACCGCATATTCAAACGGAGCAATATACCCGGGGCGGCCCTTCCCCATAGAATTTCCGCGATCGTAAACAATGAAGCTGCGTTGACATATTCATAACCTATTTTATTGCGTGGACACGAACCCGTCCCGTGGACGTTGGCTCCGGGGTGCTTCCTCATTATGCAGACGTAGGAAACAATTAGGTCTATGTATTTATGCAACTAAATAAACATTGTCGCTGACTATGGGCTAAGCTAAGTGCAATATTATATTTGGGGGTCTCTGGGTGATTTGAGGTTTGCTTTACTTGACCGTAATTTCCTATTACCACCGCCTAAGGATGCTTACTTTACATTGCAGTGGATAATGTAATAGTCGCGTGTCTTGGTGAAACTGATAATTGAGTTTGGTTAGTCAGCATATTTAACTACAAAATAACATACTTCCTAACCAATGATAGGAATACTGCAAAACAATATTATTGAACATTATTTTGGGACTCATATAAAGCTTTGGAATAGAAAAGTTAGATCAGCGTCGATGAGCATGTATCTTGGTTCAACCGCATTTTTTCCTATATATCTTGCTGACTGTTACAAAAGAGATGATGCGTTGTTGCCACACATTAGAAAGAAGTAATGGTATTGTCAAAAAGCAAAAGCTACTTGGGAAAATATCAATTTGAACTAAGTGCCAGTACCTCTTTTAGCTCAAGCTCAAATCTCTCCTTAGCGCCACTTTTGGGAAAGCTCTTTCTAGTGTTTAACAATCTCAGGACACCGCTTTTGGGAAATCCGCTCTTGATGTCTGAAGTATTAAGTATTGCCATACAAGAAGCATGGTTCCTAAGTACCTCTTCTCTATTACAGACAGTTCCAAATCAAGCCCCGTATGGAAAATATTCACCCTTGTTATAATAGTGAACAAATTTGTCTCTATCTTCCACCCCACCTAGGATGTGAAGGTGACTAACCCAAACTAACCTAAAATTTTAAATCATGCTATGTTCAAGAGTTAGAAAAAAAGAGCTTCCGTTTGTTCCTAACAATAGTTTGCTAAATGGGGATTTGCACTAAGAGCAACAACAGGTAGTGCACTGAAGGGTACACGCCTAAAGCTTCTGTGTAACTGATGACATGGTACGGGGGACTGTAGGTTCCGTCCTAAGGGTAGAATAGGAGACGAAAACTCATATATAAAAAAAAAAAAACTTGCTACAAATTCTCTGCAGCGGAACCGTGTGTATCATACATTTCAAAGTAGGTAGTCGGGAGAGGAATGACAAAAAGCACGTTTGCTTTTTTTTATTTGAAAAATTTAAAATAAAAAATTATAAATGTTTTTATACAGGGTGTAAAAAAAGTCTGGAATATTGCTAATATCTTGAAAACGGCTGAATATTTTTCATTTAAAATTGGTATGCTTCTGTAACGAATAGCTCCGGATCCTTCAGGTGTAAAATCGCTTATGTAAGAATACAGGGTGAGTCAATAAAATTGCAAACTTTTTTATTTTAAATGACACACCCTGTAAATTTTTACGGATATTGACAGATCTTTGCAAGACGAATTCACTAATATGGGTTTTAGGGGTCTTATCTGTCAAAGTGACGGAACAAGTGAAAAAACAAATTCAAACTGTTTATTGTTATAAACACTAAAAATAATTACAACAAATGTTCGAAATGAGTTCCATTACTAGCTAGGCAATAACCTGTCATTTAACTCCT